TTCGAAATTCGAATTTTCCCGTATATCAAATTTCAAATCTATTTGTACAAAGAATCATAATTCAAAAAAAGGAATATTTGCAGAGGTGCGTGTAAGTACACTGGCCATTTGGTTGTAAAGTGATTAGGAATCTGAGAAAGTATACGTCAGCAAATTGATGACTCATCACTCCACGTTGACCATTTTTGTTAAATGTAGTTGATGATTTCTGGCACCTCCCTTCACCTAAATCTCACCACCTTTGACTCGAACAGAATACAGCCATACACATTAAACATTTAAATTTATAAATAATTATTTATTTAGCATCTAAATCAAAATGAATCTCATTTTATGTGACAAATTTAGGCGCGTGGTTATGAAGGACACTTGTAAAGAATCTATATATATATATATATATATTTTAAATTGTAGGTAAAGTTTTTAATAAAACTTTTTTTTGTCCCTTTATTGTTACACACTTATAATAATATATTTTTTATTTTAACCATCAATGCCATAACGTTGATTTGTGTCTACAATCACCTTTTATTTTTTCTTTTAAAAATTTGAATTTTTTGACACGATTTGAGCAAGTTTGAAATAATAGCTAGTTATTTTAAATAAATATAATAGTTCAATTTTGTCTTAAATAACAATATAAATGTTCAAAAATGGAAAATTTTTGTTTTAATTTAAATAATTATTAAAGCTTTATGGCATTACATATAATTAAATGACACTTAGTCATTGATACAACTTACGCCTCTATATTATAATACTTTTATTAATTCATATAATGTATTTTATTTTATTCAAGAAAAAAAAATATAATGTATTTTATTTTATGAATAAACTTTATTTAATTGACCAATGGTGAATTTGGATTTGCTCGTGGGGTTTGTGTGATTTCTCCCGTGGTGAATTTGGGTGATTGTTAAATCATGTTTAGTATTTCTCATAAATGAAATTATTTGGAAAATTGATATCAACATAGTTAGGATTAAATTTTTGAATTATTACTATTAGAATATAATACCACTTGTGAGTTATCTCACATCGTTTATACATGGTAAATAGGCGTAATTTATAAGCCTAGTAAACTGTTCCTCCTTCCACCAATTAGTTTGGGAAAATTTTATGTATACACAGCGATTCAACAAATATTGCAACATTACGAACGGTTACAAATTTTTTGCTAACTTACCAAAAGCATGGAAATTATTTGTGATAATGCAAGATTTCTATTACCCCAAAAAAATCTATCAATATCCTTAAATTGCGGGAGTACAAATTAATGATTTTACTCTCAATATCCCTGTTACCCAAAAAATTACGCTCAGATTACTGACTTGATGAATCAGTATCCGTAAATTCATTCTGTTACCCCAAAAAAATCGATGTATATTTTTATGTATATTTCCTTTATATTTTATGTATATTTCGAGTGTATATTTTCTGTTACGAGAATTTCGAGTGTATATTTTCTGTATATTTTATGTATATTTCGAGTGTATATTATCCTCTGAGAAGTTTTCGTCAAAAGGCATTCTATATACATAATATATACAGAAGAAATACAGAAAGTATATAAGTTCAGAAAATATACGAAATAACCTCATAATTATATCTTTTCGTAATTCTTTTATGTTTCACGATCAAACTTATATACAGAAGATATATTCATTATATACTCAACATATACATATGATATATTCACTGGTTATAAACGAAACATATACTAAATAACAGTATATTTGTCGGGAACATATACAGAATATATACTAATTGTATACATAGGACATAAAAGAAAATACCCAACAAAAAATAAAATCAATCTGTCATCCAAATTTTGCAAATCTTCTTCTGATTTTCTCAAATTGTCACCGGGCTTGTTCCTCTTCTTGGACAGGTTCTCATTATTTTCACCTTTTTTTACTCGTTTCTTGTCCTTTTCCTTGTTTTCTTGCAAGTCGTGTTCTTCATCACTCGATACTTCATAGCTTTCACTGTCTTCTTCATGAATTTCGTCCTCAAAGTTGGAATCCATTGTTGCCCCCTTTTGTGCCATACCTTGTTTCTTTCCTTCATTGTGTACCCGTGACCTTTTATGTGGATTGTGGCCGGGGGCCGACTGAAAGTCATCGGAATCAGATGACGGGTCAACCTTTTCTGGCTTTCTCTTTCCGGGCATACTCGGATAGTTGTTGCTTTTCATTTTATTTTTTCGAAATGCAATTTTTTTTGAACGAGAGTGGGTTTCCTGCAAACTTGTATATTTATGAGTCGCAAACTCGATCTTCGATGAGGGGAAGCTTTGGCGCCGGTTATCGGACTTCTTCCAATTTTCATTTCTGCCATTTTTTGAAACTGGTTTGAAAGGTTAGGGTTTGCAGTTGATATTCATCATATTTTCATGCATTATGAGTGATATATTGTGATATTTGGCCATGATTATCGTGTGATTGTGCACCATTTCGTTTNTAAAACGAAATGGTGCACAATCACACGATAATCATGGCCAAATATCACAATATATCACTCATAATGCATGAAAATATGATGAATATCAGCAGTTGAGAAAAATTGTGGGAGAGAGAGCAGAGGTTAATCGTGAAGAGAGAGAAGAGAGTGGGCGGTGGGCGGTTTTACAGATGTGGGATAATGGCCTCTTACCATACGCATCGGGAGCCGTTTTTGGTACAAATATTAATACCATTAATCTAGCTAGTGAATTAATTATTTAAGTCAGTCGAATTCTTGTATAACTGCAAATATAAACGTAATCTTTCACTATAAGTGAGAGGGCGTATTAGAATATAATATTACTTGTAAGTTGTCCAACATCCTTTATACAAGGAAAATAGACCAAACTTATAAGCCTACTGAGCTACTTCTCCTTCCACCAATTGGTTTTGGAATGGAACCTCACTTGGGCTTCATCTGGGCTCACCCTACTATGGTGCGCTTCACGTGCGTGAGACCGTACCCGTTTCTCCCGTTTCTTACGTTATATCAGAGCCAGTTTTACGTGAGACCGTGCGATGATGTACTCGTCACCCAGTCCAGTTGGGTTTGGGCCTCGTATGAAGGATTTACAGATGAGGGGACATATTAGAATATAATACAACTTATGAGTTGTCCCTCATCGTTTATACAGGATAAATAGGCCTAACTTATAAGCCTAATGGAATACTCCTCGTTCCACCATTTGTTTTTTATGAAACCTCATTTGGGCTTCATCTAGGCCCACCTTGCTATGGTGCGCTTCACGTGCGTGGGACCACACCCGTTTTCCCCCCGATTCTTACTATTATAATCATGGGATGTTTCCTAAACCCAAAAATGAAATGAGAAGGACATTTCAATTTTTCCTTTAAACGATGATCAGGTGATGCAAGCATTTGGTGAAATTGTACCGATGATTTTTTATAGTGCAAATCTCTCTAACTTTGATTGTATTGAAGATGATAGCCAAATTCAATTGGATGACACTGATTATTTTTAGATTTTTAGTCTTTACTTTAAAGATTAAGACTTTGGTTGTTTGTAATAATTAATATTTTAATGTTATTTTTATATTTAATGTTCAAGTTTATTATTAGGGTCCATTTCAATTATTTATTTTCTTTTATGGTTATATATATTATTATTTTTTGTATTAAAAATGAATTGCTCGAATAGCTTATGCAATGCCCTACGCTATTTAAGCTACGCAATATAAGAGTCAAAACGCGCGCAATGCACGTTTTAAGGCACTGAAAAATACACAGATATTGAAACTCTTCATTTTTAAAAAGGGATTAAGAAATATTAGGAGTTGACACAAAGACTTGGAATATATGCATTTATATGTAGGGGGAGTTAAAAAAATAAAAAGTAGAAAAAAAAACTTTAATTGAAGAAATATAAGATTTTTCATTTTCAATTAAATATAGCATGTCTTAGTCTACTCAATCATATCATATGAACTAACATGGTAACCATTTTTATTCAAATATTTAATATTAATTAATAAATTTATCCCAATTATACATGGCGAAATTATGGTTCGGAGCCGCGGTTTTGAAGGTTCTGAATTGGCCTGAAAACATATATGGGTTGATTTGGTGATTCGGCGGTAAGCTTAGCCCGATTCATTAAATAATAAAATTAAAAAAAAAAAATCATAGGTCGAACCACTGGTTCGAGTTCCGATTTCAATTCTTAACCAACCAACGGTTCATAAAATCATTAATGTAATTCGAAATTGGTCTAATCAAAGTAGGGGCTCGGTTCAAGGTCATTTTACTATAGGCCGATTTGGCCCGATTCTGGCGGAAGTGGCGGGCCGTTTTGGGCCATGATCACGATTAATCCCGGTTTTTTTTAACGGCACCATTTGCAATAAAATGAAAGCTGCGCCGCTTAGGTGCGCTTGATAATCATCATTCATCATCTCATGAATCACTTTTGTCAATTTAAAAATATAATTGGACCTCTTTCTTCTTGCTTTATAATATTATTATAATTAATATATGCGTTCACTTTCCAAAATAATTACTAAAAAACAAATAAAAATATATTGTTGTTATCATTATTGCTTTATAATATTACAATCAACAAATTGCGTTCGCTATTCCAAAATAAAATATTACTAAAAAACAAATAAAATGATAAACATAATAGCAAATCACAACCTGAAAATTTGCGCGGTTCTCGCCATCGCCAGCTGTACGTCGGTCCCAAATCCCGCATATTTACCAATAAATTAATCCCTATTTTATTTTCCATTNCCTAATAACGTTAAAACGCCGTCAAAGGAAATTAATTAATTAATAAAATTAATTAACGAGATTCCCCTTTCATTTTGTCCCAACTCATTTATAGACCTCACAAATTCAATTGAACGAACGAACGAAAGGGCTCTCACAAAAAAGCTCATCTCCAATGGCGGAGCCACCCTTTCCACAAATTCACAGCTTTTACCATTAGCAGAAAAAAAAAACCCACATTGAATTTTTCAAATCAATCGCCAATCGATGGCCGCCGCCGCGGTAGCTCCGGCGAACCCGCCGAAGCAGAAGGAGGTGAAGGGCCTCATACTCGGCCGATACGAAATCGGCAAGATCCTCGGCCACGGGACGTTCGCGAAGGTGTACCACGCGCGGAACGTGAAGAACGGCGATGGCGTGGCCATCAAGGTCATCGACAAAGAGAAGATCCTGAAGGTGGGCCTCACCGCCCACATCAAGCGCGAGATCTCCATCCTCCGGCGAGTCCGCCACCCGAACATCGTCCAGCTGATCGAGGTTATGGCCACCAAGTCCAAGATCTTCTTCGTCATGGAGTACGTCCGCGGCGGCGAGCTCTTCGGGAAGGTCGCCAAGGGCCGCCTCAAGGAGGACGTCGCCCGGAAGTACTTCCAGCAGCTGATCTCCGCCGTTGCGTTCTGCCACGCGCGCGGCGTCTACCACCGCGACCTCAAGCCGGAGAACATCCTCCTCGACGACGACGGCAACCTCAAGGTCTCCGACTTCGGCCTCAGCGCCATCTCGGAACAGATAAAGCAGGACGGCCTCTTCCACACCTTCTGCGGCACCCCCGCCTACGTGGCACCTGAGGTTCTCTCCCGGAAAGGCTACGACGCCGCAAAAGTCGACATCTGGAGCTGCGGCGTTATCCTCTTCGTCCTAATGGCCGGCTACCTCCCCTTCCATGACCAGAACGTCATGTCAATGTACAAAAAAATCTACAAGGGCGAATTCCGGTGCCCCCGCTGGTTCTCGCCGGAGCTCGTCCGCCTCCTGACCCGCCTGCTCGACACAAACCCTGAAACCCGAATCACAATCCCTGACGTCATGAACAACAAGTGGTTCAAAAAGGGGTTCAAGCACGTCAAATTCTATATCGAAGACGACAAATTGTGCAGCGTGAATGAGGAATTGAACGAATCAAATGAATCAAACGAAAACTTCATCATCGATTCTCTATCCGAGCAGTCACTATCCGAATCGGAGGCCGAGCTCGAGTCGAGAAGGAAAATTACAACTCTGCCCCGGCCAGCCAGCCTTAATGCTTTCGACATAATCTCGTTCTCTCGCGGGTTTGACCTTTCGGGCCTTTTCGAAGAAGGTGGAACAAATGGTGGGGCCCGATTTGTCTCGGGTGCTCCCGTTTCAAGCATTATATCAAAATTGGAAGAGATTGCCAAAGTTGTGAGCTTTACTGTTAGGAAGAAGGATTGCAGGGTGAATTTGGAAGGAATCAAGGAAGGTGTAAAAGGCCCATTAACGATTGCAGCTGAGATATTCGAGTTAACGCCTTCTTTAAGAGTGGTTGAGGTTAGGAAGAAAGCAGGGGACAGATCAGAATACGAGGAATTTTGCGATCGCGAGTTGAGGCCTGGTTTGCAGAGCCTTTTGCCGGTAAAAGAAGCGAATTCTGCTATGTCTTACTTACCTTCGGATACTGAATAGAGAGAGTGCTGAGGAGAAATGGAGAAGAGAGTATGAGCTTTTCTTCTCCTTCCTTTTTTCTTTTCTAATGATAGTTTGTGTTCTTTTTTGTATGATAATTATTGTTATGTGTTTTTCTTGTTTGATTGTGCGTATCGTGTTCTTTGCTAGTAGTGTTAGGTGAAGCTTGAATGTAACCTCATCATCGTTTGTGGGTTAGTTACCTCCTTTTGATAACGAGTATACGACTCTTGTTATGTTGGCTTCTTGATTAAATTCATTGGTTTGATTTATGTGTGGAGTTATTAGATGATTTGCTGATTAGTACTAGCCAAATGTGCCTTTCTGTGATTTCTTTATTCTATACTTGGTGAATCTGAATGTGATTATAGTTAGCTATTTGAAAATATAGACATTGTTTGCCTTTCGAAGACTCTGTGTGTTTACAAGTCGAAAATGTAGCAACTTCAGGCGATTTAACGCTATTTTGTCTTTTTTGTTAGGCATGATCGGTAATTTGGATTACTTGTGATCATAAGCGTTAAATGGTTTTTGCTCCAATCATGAGGAGTAGTGCACTTCGATTTTTCAATTGTTACCTTTAGTTAAAAACTTTCTACATGTGCTTGGTAGTTAGTTGTGTTTTCAGTTATTTTAGATGTGGGATCTAATGACTGCATCTCGATTCGTAAGTAAAAAAAAGTCGTTCTTTTCTCTCGTTATTCACCATTTCTTTCAATATCCTCCGAGTTAAAGGCGTATTGGACTTCCATGAATTTCGATCTTCGGAAGTCACGTGTAAAGATTGTGTTTTACGTTTTTTTTTCCTGAATGCTTCTAGGATTGTGGTTGATAATCATGAAAATGCGACACCTTTTAGTATACAGGAACCTGAATTTCTATAATCTGAGATCATCACGTGTTTGGTTCATGTGATTATTATGACTATGTCATCTTTTGTGCATGAAAAAGTAATGTGAAGCATGTGAACTGAAATGTAATGCTGCCAAATTTGTTGTGTTGGTTTTTGGAGTATTGTGGTGTATTTCATCAGTACAGATATATTATTTGTGTGTTGTGTCTCCTTGTTTCTTGATGTGGTGTTAGGTTTTCTTGAAGGATATTTTACTTGTTACATCTTTGCTCTACCAAAAATGGGTTGTTTTGAAATGCTTTTCTATATTCCTGTCAAATTTGCCTATGTTTATTTGCAGAAAATGTCAATAATTTGTTTGGGTATATGACTAATAAGCCTGATGTTAGGCACTTGGATATAAGTTATTTTAATTTTGATAGTATTTGTTGGATCATCAGAGTTAATTTTGAAAAGATTGAGAGTGTTTGAGTAGGTTTTTGAATTTGTATTAAAATAAAATTTAAAATATAATGATTAAAGTTGATTTGGTGATGTGATTGAAAGTGATAAGTAGTTAAAATTTTGTGAGTTGATAAATAATGAATTAAAGTTGATCTAATGCGTGAGAATAAAGCTGCAAACGAGCCGCACCAAGTCGAACATTTGGTTTATCGAACAAGATTTTTTTTTAATTGCTCGAGTTCGTCGAGCTCGATTTATGAGGCTCGAGTTCAACTCGAAAATTTTTAAGTGGAAAAATAAAATTATCATTAAGCACCTATACTATTGTAATATATAAATATAAGGGGTATTTTAATAATTTGAGATATATATCTCGAGCTGCTCGACAATGCAAAATATGGGCTCGAGGTCGACTCGAGTTCTGTCAAATTTGAGCTCGAGTCGAGCGCCTCGCAAACCGGTCAATTCGTTTGCTGTCCTATATGAGAATGATTGATTGATATTATTTAATTATGTTGATAATACTGAAGAGAGTTGAGTTGAGTTAGATTTTGAGTTTAAAAATTATCTAATCAAAAGTGATCAGATAATCTATATCCAATTAGGGCTCAATAATTTCAAGTTCGAAATGTCATGCTTTAAAAAATAGCACAAACTAAGGACAATATTTTATAGTATAATTTATGCGTTTTTGTTAACAATTACGAGGAGTCGGCCTACTTTACGGCGAAACCACCACCTCATACAAGAATGTGTGGTTATTCTACACATTTAAAAAATAGTATGTCTACTTTTAGGTAATTATATTCTTTTAATAAATATGTATACTTTTAAATTTAAATTTCACTATAAAAAACATGAACAAAAGTATAATTTTTTTTATACGATGAGTTTGATTTGCTTTACAAGGTTAGAAGGTCTTATACAAAAAATAATATTTGAACAATATTATTTTGGGATCACAAGTCCTAGTGTTATCACATCATATGTTGACGGTTGACCTACAGTCAATCTGGCTTGCTCAATAATTTACAAAACAAAATTTTGATGGGGGACCGAATCTTGCCAATTGCAAAGATACAATATAATGACACTGGTGATACAAAATATGTCACATGCAATTGGCAGCCACTTGAATATAAACTCTATTTAATCAAAGCATAAACATATTGACGATGATGATTGGAGGATCAATTTGAAAGAGATTAAATTATTACCAAAAACAACCAAGATTGCCATATATACTGGGCCGTCATATTCTGGGCTTTAAGGTTATGTTATATAATCAATAAATAGGCCTAAACATTTTACCATCAAATCAAGCTGGGGTCATGATCTTGGGCCAAGTTTAAGAATTAAATGAGGTCGTTATACTCATCTATCACATATCCATAAAAATGATTAAATACTAAAAATAGTAGCAGTCTTTCATCTTTGTCCTACAGGTCACAATGACGAACCGACCTGATGAGTAAAGGAGAATTCTGTTGCAATTAGTCAAGTTTTAGCCCAACAAAGATAAAAAAACATTTGTTCTTTTTAAAAACAAGTTTTAGGCGAAATTCTTTCCTCACCCTTGTGAGATTATGAGAATTGAATAAAACGGAAAATACCCAATTGAACTGAGTTAGGTTGAGGGGATTGGGTTTGATATATATTAGGCATTTTGATATTTAATCCCTTACCAAGTTACCAATATGTGGTAACATGACTAGAACCATTTTCCTGAAAATTTGTTTGCTTGGAGGCTAAGGTTGTGGTTGAATTGATTCGAACCGAAATAAATACCGAACTGTTCAATTCAGATAAAAAATAAATAAAATCAAGTATTCGTATTATTTACTAAAGAATTCAATTGGGATTTGTGTTTGATTCGTTTAAGATAATTGAAGATATTCGTTTTTAAAAATTATTCGTAAACATATTAATATATTTAGCATATATATATATATATATATTAATAATAAAATTTCACAAAATTGTTCAAATTTTTTATTTTGAAGAATTACTAATTTATCTTTATACCCTACTGAATTTTATTGCAAAAACTAAAATTCTATTGCAAAAAAGCTAAAATTCTATAAAGTATGGAAGTAGGATTCAATCCAAGCAAAGTAACAACACACTCCTATATTAAATTTGATATTTATACCATCTCCACTTCACTAAAAATTATATTAAATTTTACTATATTAAATTTGATATTTATACCATTTCCACTCCTTAAGTGGAGAAAAAATCAGTAAAAAATATTTCCAGTATTGGGCTGTTTGATATTTATACCATCTCCACTCCTTAAGTGGAGAAAAAATCAGTAAAATATATTCTCAGTATTGGGCTGAGAACTAGAATACAACAATAAACCGTGTTGCGCGGTTTATATTCTTTTTCTTTTTATGATTTATTTTACTATATTATTTTGATAAAATGTATAATAATAAAATATGTCAATAATACAATATTATTAGAATATTTTTATATAGACTAATGATAAATGACAATAATAAAATATTATTGGAATTTATTTTATATAGATTATAGGTAAATTTTTGGATAATACTAGTATATATATATATTAACTCATAGGATTCAAATTATCAATATTAGCTCAATATATACTAGTATTTTTATATTTCTAAACATATGATTTAAATATTGTAGACATGATTTTAGAATTTATATAAGATTAAAAAAATTATATAAGATTTATATACAAATATATTAGATTTTTTTTGAAATAAAAATAAATAAAAATAATACATTTAATATAGAGTAAAATCTAGCGCGAACAACTGGAGATGAAATTAGATATTTGGCTTACTCTACTCTAGAGTAGAGTAAACTCTAAAGGGCTTTGTTTGCTTAGACGGTAAGGTTGTTATTTAATTGATTCGAACCGAAATAAATACAGACCGTTCAATTTAAATTCAAAAAATAAAAAGTAAAAAAAAATCAAGTATTAGTATTATTTATTAAAGAATTCAACTGGGATTTGTGTTTGGTTCATTTAAGATAATCGAAGATATTCATTTTAAGAATTATTTGTAAGCATATTAATATATTTAATATACTTATATATGTAAATATATATATATATATATTGTGAATTAAATTTCATAATATATAGAAAATATTAAAATTTTTATAATTACTATAAAAAATATCAAATATTTAAAATTTCAAAATCAAATATTGTATACATCCGAATTCGAATTCAATAAGATTTTGAACACAAAATAATATTCTTATTCATATTGCATGAAAACGAATTACCTATTCGATTCTGTTACTACTCCAGGATAAAGATAGAATTTTCGTTTACATTATATAAGGGAATCTTCCGATGGCTTTATAGAATTTCTGAATATGAACAACTCATAAATTTTAGTCCCAACATGTACCATAAGAAAAGAAAAGACAAACTATCACTAGTTTTGTATAAGCTAGAAATAATAACAGCGGTTGTGGCAAAATAAATAAAGAAAATTCACTATAAATCAGTAAACAAAATTGGCGATAATAATGCATGTGTTGGAAAATGAACCAAACATTGTGACAATTGTAAATTTAAAGTTAAAACAACTGGTGATATTCATGCAGTAAGTAACCCAACATTGTATAGTGTGCCATTAGGAGGTAAAAATCAATAAAGAAAAATGGTGATAATTACACATGGAAAATGAACCAAACATTGTTTGGGTTA